CATATTCCCAGTTACTATGTACAGGTATAAAAGTTGGACAGGAAGAAAACCTGGATTCATTTGGAATAAGATGTTGGCAGAGAGCTCTACACAGATATCCTGGACTGCTAGGAAGCTGGACAAGTGAGTCCTAGAACAAATTAAGCCTGAAACATCACTAGAGGCAAGAATAAAACTGAAGCCATCCTACTTTAGGCATAATCATAAGGCAGGATTCTTTAGAAAGGATACTAATGGGGAAAATAGAGGGCAGTAGGAAAAGAGGAAGACCAAATATGAAGTGGACTGATTCCATAAAGGAAGCTATAGGCATGAGTCTCCAGGAGTTGAGCAGGGCTGTTGAGAACAAGACAAGATGGACATCACTCATTCAGTCACCAGGAGGCAGAGCCAACTCAACAGAATGTAACACATAATGTTACCAAAGTAAAAATCACTAGAAATTATGTTATTCTAAGCAATCACTGAAAAAAAACCCCTCTATTCTAAAGGCAGGCGTATTTTATTATTCTTAGCACTGGTGTAAGTACTTTGAGAGTTTCTTCCTGATTCTTTATTGGATACTCCTTGGACCCTTGGCTTAATGCTTTGCCCTATTCTCAACCTACATTCACTCCTTTGAGTCCTGGCTTTCAAACATTTGGTCAGGCCACATAATGAGAAATACATTTTATAATGCAACTCATTATACACTGAATAAAAGTGAAATAAAAGAATTACGAAGAAATCTCCTATGTGGGTGATAGCTAATAATTTTTACTCTGTGCTTCTTGTTTTTTAGCGCTGGTTAGTACTCACTGAATTGATTTCAAGACCCATTAATGGACCAACAACTCACAATAAAACAGGCCTGTTGTAGGTGATCTCCAGTGCCAGAGGTTTAAATATCATCTATGATTCCTATATTTCTCACCTATATCCTTTCCCCTGAGCTTCAGATTCCGGTATCCTACTTGCCATCTCAACTTGGACATTTTGCTAAACCTCTTCTCTTAGTAGTCTAATCCTCTTTTAGGTAAGATGGAACACCCTTCACCCAGATGCTCAAGATCATAACTCAACTCCTTTATTCCCTCTCATAGCCTACTTTCTACCTTTGAAATATATGCCAAATTCAACTTCTTAGCACCTCCACCACTATCACTGTAACCAAAATCATCATCAGCTCTGCAAAAGCCTATTAACTATTTTTTCCACTCTCCATAAAAAAGTAAGTGCTCCAACAATAATCAGGGTGATCCTTCAAAAACATAAATCAGATCATGTCCCCTGCTCACAACCATCCAATCCTAACACGGCCTATATAGGGCCTAATGTAACCCTAGTTATCCTTCTTTTCTGACCTCATCTCCCACCCCTCTGCCCTCTTGCTCACTCCTCTCCAGCTAGTTCTCCGTACTGTTCTTGGAAGATGCCAAGGAACAATGCTCAGACATGAACATTTTTGTATCTACTTTTCCCTCTACCTAGAATGTTCTTCTTCAAGATATTAATGTGGTATGCTCCTTCATTTCATTGAAATATTAACTCAGAGCATCCTCTCCTGAGAACCTAAATTGAAAAAGCACTCCGAACACTCACTAGCCCCTTATCCTGTGTTTTTTTTGTTTGTTTTTTACTTTAGAGCATTTATTACCTAATATGACATCTCTAATGCTTAAATGATCTGTACTCAAAATTTAGCTCAAAAAATGAAATGAATGGATATACATAAATGACATCAGTAATCACTGTAATAAGAGTACTATTAAGAATTTTAGTCTTGGTACATAAACCCCATTCTTCTTGACACCATTCTTTCTCTCCATCTATTTTAATAGCCATCTATGTAAAAATTAAAGTCAAGAAATAAGATCTCTTCTGTGGGCTGAACTGGAAAAAAGAATAACTAGAAACCATCCAAATGTATAAATAAATAAAGCAAAGCCCTGGCTGGTGTGGCTGTTGGTTGCGCATCGTCCTCTCCTCCACAGGGTTGTGGATTCAATTCCTGGTCAGGGCACATACTTCACGTTGGGGAACCTCTGGGAGGCAACCAATCAATGTTTCACTCTCACATTGGTCTCTCTCTCTCTCTCTAAAATCAATAAAAGCATACTCTCAGATGAGGATTTTTTAAAAAGCATAAAAGATTTTATGTATGTTTTCAGGCAAGAGAAATAGGAAGCTAGTTTCTATATACTGACTTAGCAAGTAGAATATTTATGCACCAATAATTACAAGTAATGAATAACAAGGAGTTAACCAGGTTTAAATTCTGGTCTTAATATTTAAAAACAATAAAACTTTTCTGTGCCTTAGTTTCCTCGTTTATAAGGAATAATTACAATACTTCCACATAGAGTGTTGTGAAAACAAACAACACCTCTTTATAATAGTAAGTTATTACTATTATACAATAGTTAATAAATATTAGCTATTTATTATTCTTTTATAAATTATCACCAAATTCCTTATCTATTGACACGACTAAAATACACAAATTTTGATGGGCAAGCTCAAGTTATGCTTTCTATTTTCAAATTTCTTCTCAGGAAAGGCAAGAAGAGGTCTGTGTTGAACTAAGAAGGTATTGCCCTTCCCCCAAATATTGAAAAACAAACAAACAAACAAACAAAAACCTATTAGTTAATGAGGCTGATATCTAGGAAGTCACAAAATAGAATATAAATGTGATACCCTAAGTTCATATTCACTGCTTATATGGTATAAAATAAATAGCTCATCACAGTTTAAAAGTATGAAAAAATTTCACTCTTTACTTTCTTAGAAATTAAAACTTAAATTTAAAACCATTTAAATTCTCCACTACCCCAACCCCAAACCCATCAAATGCTCAACATTATGGATATTAGAACTTAGCTTGTGTTTTATACATTTCACAAAATAACACTATTTGGTTGCAAATGTCACCCTATTTTCTTACAGTAATATAGATTTTAAAAAACAAACAGTTTGCCCCTACAAAGATAAGTAGCAGCTAATTACCTTAAATATTAAAACAAAAGAAAAATAACTGAATTATTTCAATGCTTATTACATTTTGTAATGTGGGGATGCATATAGTTAAGTTCTAGAAAACAAAATACTATAATTAAAATTATGTGTATTCTTATCTAGACTAGAAGTGAAAAAAAATGTTTAAAAGTGAAAAATCTTACTGTAACCTTAGCCATAAGAGAAGTGTGTCATCTTTTCTCTGAAAAATCAGGGAGTCTATCTGTGGCCAGAGAATCATAATGCCTCTAACTAGGCCTGACCTCATAATTAATAGGGATTCATAGCATGAAATGCTAACATGTTAGAAACATCAGCAAGCCTGAAATAAAATTACTAAATTCCTTCAGCAAGTAATACCTATGTTTGTTATGATCTAAATGGTTTCACTCTTTACATTTTAAGTACTAATCATAACGGAATTCAGGAGGCTATTTTGAAGATTAAAAACAATATATTCTAGAGAACTGGGTATATACTATAGATGTTTTAGTTTAGTAGCCTCAGAAAGTTTCAAGTTCTGCTAAATTGTTGTTACAAAATCCAACTGGATACTCAGTATTTATTCGTATTTCAAATCACAGGTCATACGGAAGTTACAAATTTAAGCACAGGTTTAAAAAAGCAAACAACTTGATGGGCCCACTACTACAGAAGTTTGGATTTTGTTTAAAGCCTACAACTAGAAATATAAATAAATAAATGAGCTGATAAAATGATTTTCAAATCTGTTTTTCCAGACTTATTGTTGAAGTGAGATCTATTAAAATGATGCCTTCAGGTAGAACTTAAACACAATTTCAAATATTGAACATGCTTAAGGAAATCCTGAGTACAGTAGTGTATATTTCCTACCAGGCAGTAATAGTATAAAAAAAACAAAACTTATAGTTTAATGCTTTGTTAAATATGACAGCAGCCCTAGCTGCTGGTTTAGCTCAGTGGATAGAGCCTCAGCTTAAGGGTCCCAGGTTCGATTCCGGTCAAGGGCACATAAACAGGTGGTGGGCTCATTTCCACTGGGGGGCTGGGCGACAGGAGGCAGCCAATCAATGATTCTCATCATTTATGTTTCTCTCTCCTTCTCCTTCCTCTCTGAAATCAATAAAAATATATTTAATAAATAATAAATATGACAGCAACTCACTTGGTTGTATTTATAACAGATAATTTATTTTTACAATATTTAAATGATCATGTTTACATGTTTTCAATGTCACATCATTAGTTCTTGCCAGCCTTTGCATTTTTATCCTTAAAACACTTTCTATAGATAAGCTTAGAAAAAGTATTGTAACTTCTTGATCAATAATTTAGCACAAGATATATTATTAAGAGCCGGCATTTCCTTGACATTCAAGAACTTACGACAGGGATGGGACGGTGGGATTCAGGGATCCTGGCATTAAAAACAAACGGGGGGAAAACAAGTCGCCTAAATCCCCAAATCAGGTCGAGTTCGGATGGGAAGTACGTGCATTAGTAAACGTTTTTAAAGCCTAAGCAACTTTAGTGCAAGTTAAACGCAAACTTCTTGCTGAAGTTTAAGACAGAAGTGGAACAATGATGATGTGCAGAAGAAGCAAGTGGCTCAAAATGAAACACATCCTTCTTTGGAGCAACTGTCACGCAGGGTGTCCACAGAAAGAACTGCTTTCTCCGATCAGGAAGGGTTGGAACGGAAAATCAAGTGCCAATGGAAAAGAAGTTAGAGCGTGATAAAAAAGAGATGTTAAAATCACAGAGCAACCGGCTAACGGCCTCACGGACTCCAATGGCTAGAAGCTGCTGCTCCATTCCCCCGGCCCGCGGAGGAAGGCCGGAGCCCCCACCCACACGCTCAGAACCTGTCAGTGGGCAATGAGGCGCCGGAGGGAGGCCAGAGCACTGATTCCCCGCCCCGGCCCGGGCCTCGCGGCGTCAGCCCTGCCGCCCGGGAAGCAGAGAGCAGCGCTGGGGGTTGGCGGGGACCGCGGAGCCGGCGGCCCGAGCGCCCTCCTTACCTGGTCGCAGACGCGCGGCCAGGCAGGGAGGGTGCGGGGACGGATCGGCCACGGGAGGCCTCCTGCGCCTGCCCGCCCCGCCCGGGCCGGGATGCCAAGGCCGCACCCGGAGTCTTCGCTAGCGGACCCCTCGCTGCCAGGAAGAACCAGGGGCCGGCAGAAGACTGCTGTGTGTCTGGGGAGACAGCAGGGCGCTAGCCGTCATTCATAATCCGGCGGACAGGAAGTCGTGTGACGTCACTTCCGCCGGTGGCACCGCGCAGAAACGTTCCCTCCCTCGATTGTGCTCCGGGAACCTTTGTTCCCCGCTCTCGGAGGCCCCGGCGCCGGGACCAGTTCGGAAGTCTCTGCGGGGAGAGGACGGAGGAGCGAGCGGGGCGGAGTGGTGAGTTGTGACGAGCGACCCCTCCCAGCCGCCTCTGGGAGGCTCGAGCCCTCCGCGAGGGGAGAGGGGGGAGAGTAGTTCCCCGGGGGGTCTGAGGCTCCTCGCTGCTTAAGGGGAAACCTAATTTGCGGGTGGTCGCGTGCCCCCGGCCGCCGCTGTCCCCTGTCAGCCGGGTTGGTGGCTGTGCGCGCGGGCGGAGGGCACCGCCCGAAGTGTCAGCACCTGGGAACCCGTCTAGAATCTTCCTCCCAGGGTTTTGGTGACTTGACTGGACCCGCTCCCTCTGTCCGTGGCTTTCATCTCCTCTGGGGCTCCCTCTCAAGAACCTTCCCCCGTGCTAGGCCTTGGGTGTGCCAGGCTTCCAGCAAAGGATTGGCATTCCTGCGGAGTGCCTGTTCGGGTTCTCTGTCCCTGGGGATTGATGTCCTCCTGCCTTCCTAGATGTGTCCCTAAGGTATGCATATAGCCCAGGGCCAGGGACGCAGGGGAGGGGTAAAAAGGGCAGCACCTTTAACAAGGATACTTATTAATTAGAAAGGGGTGCACCTTGCAAAGGCACTAAGGGCAAAGCTTTCTAGAGCCAGTATGAGATGGCAGTCCTGATGTTGCACTCTTCCTGAGTAGGTTTGAGTAAAGTCATGCACATGCAGATGATCAACTTTGGATTTCTTTTAAGAGTGCCATGTAGGATGGGAAAAGAGATCTACGAGAAAGTATCCTATATAATAAAAACCTAATATGCAAATTGTCCCACCGGCAGAACAACCAGCTGCTATGATGCACTGACCACCAACAGGTAGATGCTCAATGCAGGAGCTGCCCCCAGGCCATAGGCCCTAGTCCAGCAAAGGCAGGTGCCTGCTGATGGCAGGGGGGAGGGGGAGAGACAGTGAGTGGGCAGTGCCAGGCCAGCCAAGGTGGGTGCCAGCAGGAACCCCCTCAATTACCCCATCGTCGCCCCACAGATTGGCCCTGATCGCTGACCAGTCCTAGGGACCCTATCTGTGCACGAATTTCGTGCAATGAGCCTCTAGTATAGCTGTATATGCAAATCCAATTTAGGGTGGAGAGATCAGAGAAGCCCTAGAAAGTGTTATTTCAACAAAAACTTGGTAGTTTATGTGATAAATATATTTGAGTACCTGTCAGGTACCAAGCACTAGGTATATAACTGTGAGTTTTTTTGTTTTTTTTTAAAGGGAGGGATAGGGGGGAATAAAAGGGTCCCTGATCTCATGGAGTTTACAGTCCAGTGGGATTAATGAATTGAGGCCAAATGAAGGATTGGGAAGAGATTATTGCAGATAGTACCACTATACAAGTCCCCAGTCATGAAGAAGGTGTTTTCGTTTCACTTTTACTTAATTGATATTTAGGGGGCTTTTTCCCAGGAGGAGGAGGGTAGTAATAGGTTTGAGGTTTTGTTGTTGTTTTTGTGAAGGGACTTTGGAAATGATTAGAATTGAGTAGGAGAGAAAAGGCCATTACACTTGACTTTGATCGCTTACTAATTCTATAGCCATTATTTTGTGGCACTGTGCAAAGTAGCAAAGTAAATATAAACTCTCCCCTTAAAGTACTCAGAGTTGTATTGTGTATAACAGTTTTGTGTGTATTTGTGTTTTTGGGAGGGGGGGTGGTATAGTTCAAGTTAGAAAGTCCAGTACCATGAGAAAGCGCTAAAAGACATACCAGGAGGGAGAGATTATTGGTTGTATTTGGGGGCAGAGAAGGACACACCAGCTGTGAGTATAATCCTTATGAGAAGTTGTATTTGAACTGGATTTTGATAGGATTTGGAAATCTAAAAATGGTTAAAAAGCTTTCTGGGCAGAGAAAAATGGGAAGTGGCAAGTCCAGGTACTGACTCTATTGTAAGGAAGATTAAGATGAAGAACTAAAGTTTTTTCACTAGTTAAGAATCTTCTTAAATGCTAGGCTAAGAAATTAGGCTTTATGTTGAAGGCAGTGGGAAGCCTTAATTTTTGAGGAAGAAAAAATTTTTAATAAAAAATGTTTCAGAACATTAATGTGGCGACAATATTGTAGTCAAGAGAATACTACTTTTGCAAGACAAAAAAAAAAAAAAAAAAAAAAAAAAACAACAAAAAAACCTCACAAAGACCTGAATTTGAATAGTAGTGAAAAACAAAAGTGAAAAACAGAAAATATGAGAAATGTTACAAGAGTATGAATCCACAGGAAAAGCCTGCTGATTATTTCTATATAAGGAGCAGGGGGAGGACTTAGGAGAGAGATTTAGACCTCAGACCTGAGTAATGGAGAATTGTGTCATATATGGAAAGAAATTGCAGGATGATAAACTTTTGGGGAAGATATTCATAATCTGAATTTTAGTCATAACTGACTTTGAGATACTATTAAGATAAGCAGGCAGACATTTTGATGAAGCAATTGGAAATGTGAAATTTGAGTTTAAGAAAGATTGAAGAGGGGGAAAACACGAAATCATCTGCCTAGAGATGATAGTTGGAAACATGATATACAGGAGTGGGCAAAGTAGATTTATAGTTGTGAGTACACATGAGGGTTAATAAAGCTAGTGCAATAATCACCTACCTGCCTTTTTCCATATGAACAACTATAAGCCTACTTTTGCCCACCCCTGTACATACAATTGCTAAGGAAGAAATTGGTTCCAGAACTAATGAAGATGAACAAGGACAGATACTTGGGCAACACCAAGAAAAACAAGGATGAGAAGATAAGCCAGAGAACGAGTTGTCAGAGATAGAAGAGGAAAACCAGAAAAGCGGAATATAATAGAACTCAAAGAGGAGAAAGTTTTTTGAAAGAGGAAGTAGATAACATATTCACTTGGTCAGCATTTATTGAGTGCTGCTATCTGTCAGGCACAATGCTAAATATACCTTTACAGCAGCAAGGAAGACTAATCTAGTGCTGACCTCATGGAATTGACATTCTAGTGAGAGTGACAGATACTGTTTACATGATCAACAGTGTAGTAACTATTATAAATAAGTACAGGATGTTTTGGGACCAGTAAGAATATAGGCAGAAAATGAGACTTGAAGAATGAATAAGATGGTGGATGGGCCACTACTAAAGTGCTGAGGTAAAAAAGATATATTGAAAGATTTGAAATATCGGTAAGTCATATGAATACAACAGAGTGGGAATAGCTTGAAGTTCTAGGTAGCATTGAATGAGCATGTGCTCTGTGCCAGGTACTGTCATAACTGCTTTACATGTGCTATCAGATCATATAGCACATTGGAGACCTTTTTTAAGAATCTTATTCTTTAACTTTTGGACAGTGAGAAGTTTAAGGAGTATTTTAAGCAAGTGAGTGATATGAAATGATTTGGAGGGGACAAGAGTGATTGTGGGGAGATTGATTAAGCTATACTGTAGCCCTGATAATAGATGGAGATGGTCTAGTATGGTGGTAATAAATGTTGATGAGTTTGAGATGTACTTAAGGTTTGATGGTTAAATTGGGGGGGGGGGGGGGGGGGGGTTGAGGGAAACCAGAATTTGCTAGTTAGGCTAAAGCACTTGCCTCCAAACTTTTATCATTGAGTAAAAAAAACAAAAAAAAATTGAGTACACTCCCATATATGTGTACTTAGTTATCAATATATGCATATCCTATCTAATAAAAGAATAATATGCAAATTGACAGAACTTCAGCTACACCAGCAAGCCATGCCCATCAGCCAATCGGGAGCGAGTATGCAAATTAACCTAACCAAGATGGCTGCAGCCACGGAGAGAGCAGGAGGCTTGGGTTTCCCTGGCAATGGAGGAAGACAAGCTTTCCACCTGCCCTGGCCAGCCCTGAACTCACTCAAGGCTACAAAGTTTCAATTCTAGAAGATAAATAAATCCCAGATACCAGGGCCTCCATTTGGGTTGCCAGGTGGTGTGGCCGGCCTGCAAACACCACAGGCACTCACCCAGGCCACCCCACGCCCCAAGGGAACCTCCACCGTGATCCAGGACACCCTGCAGCGCAAACCAGCTGGCCGCCACCCATGCACCAGGCCTCTATCCTATCTAATCCTATCTAATAACAGAATAATATGCAAATTGAACATCACTCCAACACCCAAAATGGCTGCCCCCATGTGAACACAAGATGGCTGCCACAAGATGGCCAGCAGGGGAGGGCAGTTGGGAGAAACCAGGACTGCAAGGGAGGGCAGTTTGGGAGCTATCAAGCCTGCAGGAAGGGCAGATAGGGATGACCAGGCCGGCAGAGGGAATTTGGGGGCGATCAGGACTGCAGGGGAGGGCAGTTGGGGGTGACCAGGCCTGCAGGGGAGGGCAGTTGAGGGTGACCACGTCAGCAGGGGAGAGTAGTTAGGGGTGACCAGGCCTTCAGGGGATGGCAGTTAGGGGCAAACAGGCTGGCAGGGGAGCAGTTAAGCATCAATCAGGCTGGCAGGGGAGTAGTTACAGGGTGATCAGGCTAGCAGGCAGAAGTGGTTAGGAACAATCAGGAAGGCAGGCAGATGAGCAGTTGGGAGCCAGCAGTCCTGAATTGTGAGAGGGATGTCCGACTGCCCGTTTAGGCCCGATCCTACCTGGATCGGGCATAAACGGGCAGTTGGACATCCCTCAAGAGGTCCCATGTTGGAGAGTGTGCAGGCTGGGCTGAGGGCATACACTTCTATGTATGAATTTCATGCACCGGGCCTCTAGTAGTACTATAACTGTATTTTAATAGTTTATTTTAATAAAAATTTAAAAAGAAAATGAAATTCT